GGCTCACTGAAACCTCTGCCTCCTGGGTACAAGTGATTCTCCCGCCTCAGCCTCCCAATAATTGGGACTACAGGCACTCGCCATCATACTTGGCTAATTTTTGTATTTTTGTAGAGATGGGGTTTCACTATGTTCGCCAGGCTGGTCTTGAACTCCTGACCTCAGGTGATCCACCCACCTTGAAAAAAAATCTTTTTCTCTTTTGTCTTTCTTTTGAGAAAGAGTTTTGCTCTTGTTGCCTAGGCTGGAGTGCAATGGCGCAATCTCGGCTCACTGCAACCTCCGCCTCCCGGGTTCAAGCCATTCTCCAGCCTCAGCCTCCCGAGTAGCTGGGATTACAGGCATGCACCACCACACCCGGTTAATTTTTGTAGTTTTAGTAGAGATGGGGTTTCACCATGTTGGCCAGGCTGGTCTCAAACTCCTGACCTCACGTGATCCACCCATCCCGGCCTCCCAAAGTGCTGGGATTATAGGCATGAGCCACCACGCCTGGCCGAAAAAATTTTTTTATACAGATGGTACCTCACCATGTTGTTGCCCAGGTTGGCTTCCAACTTCTAGGCTCAAGCAATTCCCCTGCCTCGGCCTTCCAAAGTGCTGGGAGTACACGTGTAAGCCACTGCATCTGGTTGTGATTTTTTTTTTTTTTTTGAGATAGAGTTTAGCTCTTGTTGCCCAGGCTGGAGTGCAACGGCGTGATCTTGGTTCACTGCAACCTCCATCTCCTGGGTTCAAGCAACTCTCCTGCCTCAGCCTCCCGAGTAGCTGGACATGGGATGTGGAACAGATTACAGGCATGCGCCACCATGCCTGGCTAATTTTGTATTCTTAGTAGAGACGGGGTTTCTCCATGCTGGTCAGGGTGGTCTTGAACTCCCAACCTCAGGTGATCCGCCTGCCTCGGCCTCCCAAAGTGCTGGGATTATAGGCATGAGCCACCGTAGCACAACCGGCTCTGGTTGTGATTTTTAAAATGTATCTGCAACTAAATAAATATTAAAAGGAGCTGAGTGCAGTGGCTCACGACTGTAATCCCAGCACTTTGGGAGGCCGAGGGGGGCGGATTGCCTGAGGTCAGGAGTTCGAGACCAGCCTGACTAACACGGTGAAACCTCGTCTCTATTAAAAACACAAAGATTAAGAAGAACAAAACAAAACAAAACAAAAATTAGCCAGGAGTGGTGGTGTGCGCATGTAGTCCCACCACTTGGGAGGCTGAGGCAGAAGAAGTGTTGAACCTGGGAGGTGCAGGTTGCAGTGAGCCGAGATCGCGCCACTGCACTCCGGCCTGGGCAACAGAGCGACACTTCGTCTCAAAAATAAATAAATACATAGATAAATAAATAAATAAATATTAAAAGGAACTATGAAGCGATTTCATTTGTGTCCCCCCTGATATTTTATATGTTTAGTTTACACATGTTTACACAAACACACACACATACAAGCCACCTTTGGATTTCGTCACTTGGAAAGCTCTTGCTGTTGCATAGGGCTGTTGTCTCTCCAGGTATATCTTCTGAGCTCCTGCTAAGTGTGTGGTCTGGGTGAGGTTCAGGATGTCTCTGTTCTGGGCCCCGTGGGGGTGACAGAGAGGAAGCAAGCTGCCATGGGAGTGGCATTCGCTGTTCCCTGGGACAGGTGCTGGGGGTGGGCTGAGCCTGGTGTGGGGGTTCAGAGAACTTCTCCAAGAAAGACGTGTCTGTGTTGATACCCAAGGAGTGGTGCTATGGGTTGAACTGGGCCCCCACAAAAAGCTATATTGAAGTCCTAAGCCCCAGCATCTCCAAATGTGACCTCATTTGGAGACAGTCTTTCCAGAGGCAATCAAGTCAATCAGGTAGACCCTAATTCCGTTAGATTGGTGTCCTTACAGAAAGGGGAAATGTGGGCACAGACGCAGGGAGAACGTCATGCGAAGAGGAGGTGGAGACGGGGGTGATGCATTTACGTGTTGGCACCCACTGGCTGCTAGGAGGGAGGCCAGGAACAGGTTCTCCCTCACCGACCTTGGAGGGAACCACCCTGTCAACGCCTGGACCTTGGACTTCTGGCCTCCACAACGGTGAGACGGTACATTTCTGTAGTTTAAGCCACTTAGGGTGTGGTACTTTGTTGCGGCTGCCCCAGCAAATTAACATGGGTGGGCAGGAGTGAGCCTAGAGTGGGGGTGTGGGTTAGGGGGTTCATGGCAGAGGAAGCAGTGTGCACGGGTGATTGTTGAGGAGGGTAACAGGGTTCAGCAGGGCCCAACTTGGGGCACACTGAAAAGTGGGGGCCTTATAGTATCTACTTATTGGGTTCGCCGTGAGAATCAAACGAGATCCACGCGTCTTATGTTCAGGATGGAGCATGCCCTGTGTGCCGGGCACGTTACAGGTGCCTTGTGACCAAGATGGCAGAACCTATTTCCCATGGGGGACACAGGATGTGGAACAGAGTACAGCGACACGGAATGACAGCCTGGGCTACTGAAGGCCAGGAGGACCTGTGTGAGGGGGTGGCATTAGAGCGAGTCCTCGTGAGCTGCACCCCACAAGATCTGGAGGGAGCTCACTGCAGGCAGCATTGAGAGCCAGTGCAAAGGCCCTGGGGTGTGCCTCGATGTGGAGAGTGTGAGGAGGAGCAAGAGGCCAGTGTGGCTCGAACAGAGCGAGGAGGGGAGAGTGGACGGGAATGAGGGCAGAGGTGAGGGACAGATCATCCAGGGTCTGAGCGGGAGTTTGGGCAAAGAACACGGTGCCTGGTATAAAACGTGCGTAGTCAATGTGAGCCTGCATCAGTAATCCCGGGAGCATGGGAGGCTGCTGGGGTTTTAAGCAGTTTTAACCATCAGTCTAGTTTTCAGAATCCCCTCTGGCTCTCAGCGTGAGCTCAGCACACTTGCCTGCTGATATCTCCCGGGACACTGTTTCTGTCTCCTGACACGTCTCTCCCTCCAAGCTCTGTGTCATCCCCCGATGTGAATGTCTCCATCTAGGTCATGAAAGATGACACTAAAAAGAACAGGATGGAGGAGGGCAGAGCCCCTCACTCAAGAGACATGAGCCTTGATCCAGGCTTCCTGGGCTCTGATCCAGGCTGCATCTCTCATCAGCTGTGTGACTCTGGGCCTCAGCTGCCTCATCTGTAAAAGGGGGAGGACAGGGGCCAGGCACAGTGGCTCATGCCTGTAATCCCTGCACTTTGGGAGGCTCAGGCGGACAGATCACTTGAGGCCAGGAGTTTGAGACCAGCCTAACATTGTGAAACCCTGTCTCTACTAAAAATACGAAATTAGCCGGGCGTGGTGGCGCACACCTGTAACCCCAGCTACTCGGGAGGATGAGGCTGGAGAATCACTAGAACCCGAGAGGTAGAGGTGGTAGTGAGCCGAGATAGCACCATTGCACTCCAGCCAGGGCAACAAGAGTGAAACTCTGTCTCAAAAAAAAAACAAAAAACAAAAAACAAAAACGGCGGTGGGATGGGGGGAGGACAGGTCCACCCCCATGGAGCTGTTGCGGGATCCAGTAAATTCATTTGCATCAAACCACTTAGAATGAACCTAGATGTGGCGAGTGCTCAGGAAATGGTAGCTCCTGTATCCTCCAAGTGAAAAACAAAACTCTTTCTCAACTGCACACCCCTCTCCTCTTTCACTTTAAAGTAAAATGCCCCAAATGAACTGCTCACACAGCTCCTCAATTCTGCCTCACCCTTTTCTCCTGAACCCTCGAGAGACCTCTGGGAGGCTTAACCCTATATAGTCAGTTCTCAGGCTCATCACCCTGGGCTGGGCCCCGCCTCCTCGCCTGAGCTCCGCCTCCCCTGGCCCCGCCTCTGCACCTCCCCGCCTTCCCTGCCCCACCTCCTTCCCCGGTTTCTCACTTTGGCTCAACGCCAAGGGGTTTCAGTCTCAGTCCCACAGTTCTCTATCCACACCCTGCCTTAGGTGCTCTTCCAGCCTCGCAGCTCTAGGCTGATTAACACCCAAAGTTCTCCCTCCAGCCTGACCTCTCCACTGAATTTGGGATTCCTTACTCAAGGGCCTCCCCGACGCCTCCGTCTGGATGTCTCCTGCGAATCTCACACCGAAGCATCCAGGATTGAACTACTGTGCCTTCCCGAAGACTGCTCCCCACTCAAGGCAAGTCTATCCTCTGGGCTTCAAGGCACGGCATCATCCTCAACCCCTCTCTTTCTCTCACACCACATCCAGTCTGCCAGCAAGCCCGGTCTGCTCCATTTCAGATAATCTATCCGGAACCGCCCTCTTCTCACCCTCTCCGCCCCCCACCCTGCTCCCGCCCCCTCGTCTCCGCCTGGACCACGACAGCAGCTCCTCCCTGCTCCTCGCAGGCTGCTCCCCACACGCAGCCACAGAGACCCTGGAACGCCCAATTTAGATCCTGCCCCATCTCTGCTCTATGCCCTCCCGTGGCTCCATGTCACTCAGGGCAAACACCAAGCCCCTTCCACGTGGCCTGCAAGACCCTCCGCGTTCTGTCCCCATCCCTCCCTGACCTCATGTCCCCACACCCTCCCCTGGCCCAAACTGTTCCAGCCACCCCAGCCTGCCCGCAGGCAACCGTGTCACTCACTGCCTCAGGACCTTTGCAGCTGCTACTCCTGTCTGGAATGTTCCTCACCCGGATGCGGCACAGGGCTAACCGCCATGGACCTACTGCGTGCTTCTCTATTCATTCCATTTACTGTTGGTCACCCCAGTTGGAATGCCAGCTCCCTAAGAGGGGTTCCCGCCTGTCCTGTTCGCAGCTGCAGCCCCAGTGTGTACACTGGCTCACAGTCATCTGTACAATGACAGCATGTGGCATCACCCTCTTTCCGCCCCCGAGACGCCCTGGTGTGGATCTGGCGAGCGCCTTCCTGGACGTCCAGGCACTTACTTCTTTGGGTCACTGAAGGGGAGTGGCCGTGGTGGGGGCTCCTCCGTTCTCTTCCACCCTGTTGGGTGCTTATTGCGCACAGGCTGCTTGGAGAAGAAGGACTTGGGGACGGAGGCGGAGAGCTGGAAGGGGCTGGGCTGGGCCAGCTGGGAGGGCCGAGGAGTCTCTGCACTGGCAGTTTTGTAAACCTGAGCGGGGTAGCCAACCCTCGAGCCCATGTCACTGCAAAACAAAAATGAGAGAGATAAAAAAACCAAATCCATTCCACATTTGGCAAGACAGCGCTATTGAAGTTTACTCCTGGGAATCAAAAAGGTTCATTTGCACAAGAGAGACACAAATATATTACCGCTGTGGAAAATTCCAACAATACAGACGCCTATCTGTAGAAAAGGCAAGGTTGCCTGCACAGCACCCAATCCCACCCGAGGATGGCCTTGTAGCACATTTGGTTCCTCTATGGGAATCTGAAAAATTCACTCCAGTCTCCTTGGTACAACCTATGCAGCTAAAGGTGGGGATCCCACCTCCTGCTCATCTCTAGAGGGAACTATGGCTTATAGTTTGCGCTTTTTCGTTCCTAACTTTTCTCTCTCTTTTTTTTTCGAGACAGGGTCTCACTCTGTCACCCAGGCTGGAATGCAGTGGCGCGATCTCAGCTCACTGCAGGCTCGACCTCCCAGCCTCAAGTGATCATCCCACCTCAGCCTCTGAGTAGCTGCGACTACCGGCATGCACCACTATGCCTGGCTAATTTTTGTAGAGATGGGGTTTCGCTATGTTCCCATCACTGGGCCTGGCCCTTAACCTTTTTCTTTTCTTTTTTTTTTTTTTTTGAGACAGAGTCTCACTCTGTTACCCAGGCCACAGTGCAGTGGTGCAATCTCGGCTCACTCCATCCTCAGTCTCCTGAGTTCAAGCGATTCTCCTGCCTCAACCTCCCCAATAGCTGGGATTACAGATGTTTGCTACCACACCCAGCTAAGTTTTTTGTATTTTTAGTAGAGACAGCGTTTCACCATGTTGGCCAGGCAGGTCTCAAACTCCTAACCTCAGATGATCACCCAACTCAGCCTCCCAAAGTGTTGGGATTATAGGCGTGAGCCACTGCGCCTGCTCAACCTTTTTCTATGCAAAAACATACACATATGTATATAAAAGGGGGCATTCTGCGGGGG